AAAAAAAAAAAAAAAAAAAGTTTTATCATGAGATTGCAGCAATCAGTCACATTTTCTGATTCCACTTCTAATTCGAGTTCTCTTGCTATTTCCACCACATTTGCAGTTAATTCCTCCACTGAAGTATCGAACTCCTCAAAGTCATCTATGAGGATTGGAATCAGCTTCCTCTAAACTTCTGTTAATGTTGATATTTTAACCTCCTTCCATGAATCATGATTGTTCTTCATGGCACCTAGAATGGTAAATCCTTTCCAAAAGGTTTTCAATTTACTTTGCTCAGATCCATCAGAAGAATCAATCTGTGGTCGCTATAGCTTTATGAAATGTATTTCTTATAAGACTTGAAAGTCAGAATTGCTCCTTGATCCATGGGCTGCAGAATGGTGGTTTTGTTAGGTATGAAAATAATATTAATTTCCTTGTGCATCTCTATCAAAGCTCTTGGGTGACCAGGTACATTGTCAATGAGCAGTAATATTTTGAAAGGAATCTTTTTTTCTGAGCAGTGCGTCTTAACAGTGGGCTTAAAATATTCAGCAAACCATACCGTAAACACATGTGTTGCCATCAGTCTTTATTGTTCCATTTCTAGAGCATAAGCACAGTAGATTTAGCATAATTCTTAAGGGCCCTAGAATTTTCAGAATGGTAAATAAGCATGGCTTCAACTTACAGTCACCAGTTGCATTAGCCCCTAACAAGAGAGTCAGCCTTTCCTTTGAAGTTTTGAAGCCAGGCATTGATTTCAGCTCTTTAGCTATGAACATCCTAGATGGCATCTTCTTCTAATGGAAGGCTGTTTCTTCTATGTTAAAAAAACTCTGTTGTTTAGGGTAGCTACCGTCATTAGCTTTTTAGCTAGATTTTCTGAATAATCTGCTGTAGTTTCTACATCAACACTTGCTGCCTCACCTTGTACTTTTACGTTATGGAGACGGCTTCCTTTCTTAAACCACGTCAACCAACCTCTGCTAACTTCCAACTTTTCTTCTGCAGCTTCCTCACCTCTCAGCCTTCACGGAATTGAAGAGTTAGGGCCTTGCTGTGGATTAGGCTTTGGCTTAAGGGAATATGGTGGCTGGTTTGATTTCTATCCAGACCACTCAAACTTTCTTCATATCAGCAACAAGCTGTTTCATGTTCTTATCTTTCTTGTGTTCACTGGAGTAGCACTTTTAATTTCCTTCAAGAACTTTTCTTTTGCAGCCCCAGCTTGGCTGTTTGGTGCAAGAGGCCTCGCTTTCAGCCTCTATCGGCTGTTGATGTGCCTTCCTCGCTAAGCTTAACTTAACCATTCCTAGCTTGTGATTTAAGGTGGCAGAGGTGAGACTCTTCTTTCACTCTTATTAATTGGCCTGATTTCAACATTGCTGTGTCTCAGGGCATAGAGAAGCCCAAGGAGAGGGCGAGATACTGGGAACAGCTGGTCACTGGACAAGTCAGAACATACACATTGATCGATTAAGTTCATCATCTTGTGTGAGCATGGTTCGTGGCACCCCAGAACAATTACAATAGTAACATCAAAGATCACTGATCACAGGTCACCTTAATAGATATGATAATAATGAAAAAATTTGAAATATTGCAAGAATTACCAAAATGTGACACAGAGACATGAAGTGAGCCTATGTGGTTAGAAAAATGGTGCCAATAGATTGGCTTGATGTAGGGTTGCCACAAACCCTGTTAGAAAGGCAGTATCTGCGAAGTGCTGTGAAACAAGGTATGCCTGTACTTGATTGTTTTTAATTCATAAGTTTAACATTTAAATTCCTTTTAAACAGCATGCATTTGTAAATAACATGGAACTTTAATTCACTAAGATTTGTTTATCAATTAAAGGTTTCTTTCAAGTAATTATACATATCAATGTACATAAAATCTGACTTTTTTGGAAAAGTATAATTCTGTGTGTCAGATAAAAATAATAGAGTCTGCAGATATGTATTTGTTTTAATAAAGCAATTTAGTGTTAACGGCTATAGGATACCAGCTAAGATCTAATTTATTTCTACTTTTTGTAGAATATTTTCCTTATGAAACCGTGCTTTAAATGCTACAAGCTTAAGGTGGGTAAAGATTAATGTCACACTGGAATCTTTAAAAATTGTAATAATGAAATGTTTTCCTTTTCATATTTTAGAATATTATTAGTTCTGAGTCTTTTTAGTATGAATTTTAATTTTATATTCAGTATCTGTGTTCAAATAGCAAAGTAGGAATTTTCTTATTAGCATTTACTTTTATGTAAACATTTCTTTTCTTTCTTATAGATTTGCTTTGAAGTCACGTTGATATGAAATATGGAGTCACCTTTGATAACTTCACCTGGGAAAGAGAGACTTCTTATTAAAATTATATAAGGACAACAAATGACCAAAGGAATCATGCCAAATTCCAACTCTACATCTTTTTGTATCATCAAGATATATTTTTTAATCCATCAAGACAAATGACTTGTATGTTAAAGGAAATGATTTGTTCATCAATATTATTTTTAGCAGTTTTAAAGGAATCTTTTTCAACTTTATACAACTCTCATAAAATTTACATATAAAAATTTTTAAGACCTTGTTTAAAATAGCTTTCTTTTTGAGCACTCAGAGCTTCAACATTTACACACCCATTTTTACTTGTCAAAGTCCTCAAAAATTTATAACATCAGAAAAGATATGTACTTGGATACTTACATTATTATAACAGAGTACAGTGCATTTAAGTGGACAATTGAAAACATTGTCCATTTTATCATCAGAAATATCACATAAAAGTATACAGTTCTTAGCTTTAATGCAAACAAAGTTGCTTGAAAATGGCATGGGTAAAATTCTTACGGAAACCTGGTGGCAATCTTGGAAAAGTTTATCAGCCTGGGAGTATGCTATCACTAGCCCCTACCAAAGGCTTGTTAAATGAACCAGGACAGAACAGCTGCTTTCTTAATAGTGCTGTACAGGTGAGACCATAATGGTAAATTTTTAAAAATATTTTTCAGGAAATCCCTTGTTTAATGCTTATTTAACTCATATTTTAAGAATAAAGTTACTATTGACTGGAATGACTTTTTAATATCACTTTTAATGGGAACAAAAATATTTTGGCTGGGCATTTTGTTTTTTATAATAAATGGAAATGGTTATTTCAATAGAATGATGTCTTACTATGATATAAAAACCTTTTGATTTAAAATGTTTATTTAGTAGATTAGGAATAGTTTTCTAAAATATGTAAAAACTTTTGTTTTACTCAGCTAATACTCCTCTGCCCCCTTTTAAAAAAGGGAATCCAGGATAAATCTCAATACCTGGGATAAAAAGAAATAAGCTGCTTGGATTGAAATGAGAATGCAGAGTTTTTGTTCTGAGTACTTGTTCACCTTCCCACTGTGGCCCTTAAATCATCTCCATGGGATCCTAATTATGGCACCACTGTTTGGGTTAAATTGAAAGTTAATCCATTTTGTATCAATCCTCGTTGGAATTCTTTTAATTATCATATGTGTGTTAACCAGCTTTCTGCCTTAGGTGAATATCCTTTCTTATGTATAACAATAGTTTTTATTCAACAGTTCCAGATTTTGTAGGGTCCTGTGTTCTTCTGACTGTCGACTATAGAATACTGAAGATGAGGGCGATTTAGAACATGAAATGTTTTTCTATTGACCCTGGAAGATACCTCAAAAGAATTCATTTAAAATGAATCACTTTTTACATATATTCATTTTTTTCTCTTGAAAACTGAGAGAGAGAAAAATATTGGTTGATTAGCTCATTTGATAAATAAACACGTCTAGAGTGGGTCAAGTGTATAGACATCTGACTCAGACCTATGTTCTCAATTGCCCTCTACCTAGGACAAACATCAAACTTGAAAGTTCTTTAATTCACTCAGGGAAAGAGAAGAAATTGGTATTAGGAAAGCATTAATTCTAATTTATTATACTTTAGGACCCTTCAGAGGTGGTCATTGATTCTGTCCTGGCTCAGAGACCCCACTGGCATTAAGTACTGTGAGAAACGCAGAAAAATATTTATGGAATGACACTGGATATAGGAATATCAGATACCCAAAGACCTGGAATTAAATCCTTTTGATTGAATTGCGTCTGCCATATAA